TTGTGTTTCCTATAACAATTATTGCCTACTAGGTTTTTCAGCTCCTTATTGCAGCAACTATCCACTTTTCGCACCATTTCGCAACCCAATTAGAAACACTGTCAGTGGAATCCTGAGTTGTCCTCTTCCACCGTTTGCCATGGCCGCGACCAAAGATCCATACTAGATATGCTATGTCCAATCCTCAACATCGTTCACCAATTCACAACCTTCTCAAAACACTATCAACAAAATCCTAAGTTGTCCTCCTCCACCATCTCCCAATTAGGGGTGGGCATTCGATCAGTTCGATTTTGACCGAGCCGAAATTATGAATATCGGGTCCCCAAATTCTCTCAAACCGAATTATAATTCGGTTCGGTTTTCACACAAAACCGAATTTGTGAAGCTACTTGTATTTTCTCACTTTTAAATTATTTTTCATCCCTAATATAAACAATAAATATGCATTTATATGCATCATCAATGATAAAATCAAACTTTTCAACACATAAATCATAAAACATTTCAAATATTTAAGTCTAAAAACAACTAAAAACATAAAAAAAAACCACCATTTGGAGCTTGCAATTATAGTATTTCGGTTTTTCGCCGTAAAAAAAATAGTATTGCGGTTTTTCGGTCGGAAATTCGGTTTGGTTGAAAGAATCATGATTTCCGAAGTATCCATATTTTCCTTCCGAATTCTGAACCGAATAGCATTAATTCGGTTTCGGTTTGGTTTAAATATGTTCGGTTTGAGTTTACCGAACCATTTGCCCACCCCTACTCCCAATGCCGCTACTGAAAATCCATACGATATCTACTCAATATTGGCGAGTTTTGTATCGGGACCGAGTTTCATTTTCTTAGTGTTTTTTTCTTTCACTTTTTCATTTTTGTTGAGCATGATCACAATTGAATCCAAATTCATGGGTATCCAGCCTCATTCGATTCGGTTAAAGCGACTTTAAACCGACTTTAACATGTATAAATTTCTCTTTTTTCTTTTGGTTGGGAAGACAATTGAACCTGAAGTGGTGAGTGTTGTTTTGTGAGCGAGCTTTATCCATTTTTGTAGTTGGTAAGTTGGACCAAGTGTTAATTTGTTAAAAAATTGTTCAAAGCAAGTTGAACACGTTGTTGACCCGTTTTAGATCGAAAGCGGGTTTTGTACGCTTTAATGTTTCTTTATTTCTTATTTTCCTTTTCATTGAGAATGGCAATTGAACTCTGACACATTGTTGACGTATTTCGTATTGAGAGCGAGTTTTATCCGCTTTTGTAATTGACAGATTCGGTAAATTGTGAATTTGTTAATCCATACCATATATACTCAATATTGGCGAGTTTTGTATCGGGACCGAGTTTCATTCGCTTTAGTGTTTTTCTCTTTCACATTTTCATTTTTGTTGAGCATGATCATAATTGAACCCAAATCCATGGGTATCCAACCTAATTCGATTCGATCAAAGCAACTTGAAACCGTCTTTAACATTTATAAATTTCTCTTTTTTCTTTTGGTTGGGAAGACAATTGAACCTGAAGTGATGAGTGTTGTATTGTGAGCGAGCTTTATCCATTTTTGTAGTTGGCAAGTTGGACCAAGTGTTAATTTATTAAAAATTGTTCAAAACGAGTTGAACACGTTGTTGACCCGTTTTAGATCGAAAACAGGTTTTTTACGCTTTATTGTTTCTTTATTTCTTTTTTTTTTCATTAAGAATGAAAATTGAACTCTGACCCATTATTGACGCGTTTCGTATCGAGAGCGAGTTTTATCTGCTTTTGTAATTGACAGGTTGGGTAAATTGTGAATTTGTTAAAACTGGGTCAACCCGATCAAAGGGATTTTAATGCAGTTCGAGAGTTTGGGGTCATGAGCTAGTTTTATCCGCTTTAGTATTTTTTTATATATTTTTTACTTTTGGTTGAGAATGACAATTGAGTCCAAACACATGGGTATACAACCTAATTCGACCTGACCAAAGCGACTTCAACCTGTTTTACAGGTTTTCGACGGGAGTGAGTTTTATCTTTTTTGGTAATTGGCGGGTTGTGTCAGGTGTGAATTTGTCCAAAACTCGGTTCAACTAGGTCAAAACAAGTTGAACCTGGTGTTGACGAGTTTTGATCCGGTAGCGAGTTTTAGCTTTATTGTCTTTCATTTCGATTTTTCCTTTTTCTTGAGAAAGACAATTGAACCCAAATTCATGGGTATCCAACCTAATTTGACTCGATCAATGCGAGTTGAACATCCTCAAACCTGCAATTAGTTCAAAAATTTCATAAAGGAGAAACACGATTACCTCAAACCCAACAACAACAAAAACAAGAGTATATGCTTTGCCCGAATTTTAGAAGTTTTATGTTTCAAAATTTCAAGTCAAGCCACACACCTGTAAAGTTTCGCTTTTTAAAAATCTAAAAAACTTCATAACTTAAAAGCAGAAGCTCCAATTTGAAAATACAAAATTGTCCTTACCATATATTATTCTTTTTCTAGAAAACATATTTTTTTCATTTATATTATTATAAAAATATTAAAAATTAGTATTATTTAATATGAAATAAATCTAATGTGATTCGTTTTAAATACTTTTTATTTTTAGAATTTGTATTCATGTTTTAGGTTAGGAATCTTTTTTAGTCATTTCACATTACCTCTTATATTAGAAAGTAATTCTTATAGTTTTTAAACTAAACACTCAACATTTTTTTAAAATACTTCTTAAGAAGATCCAAAGAAACTACTTCATTCTGCAAAAGTTACAACATGATCAACTACTAGCCATACAAATTGAACCAATAGCGTCATGAAAAAAGTTTAAACATAAATAATCTATTCGACGACCCTTCTACTTTATGCAAGTTTATCGACCATATGCTATTGTAAATAACAAACATATGAAAACAATGATTAAGAATGAAATAAGATTACTTTCACTTTGGGTCAACATTACAATTAGGATTTTGCTACGGTGACATGCATGTCACAGTGAAATGGACTTTTCGGTCGATCTAATCCTAAAGGTGGTCGACCGAATTGACTAATTTGGGCAGTACGAGAAAGCATTGCGGTCGACCTAATCCTAAAGGCGGTTGACCTCAATTCATAGCATAATTGATGAGTCCTTGTTATCATTATTTATGACTAGTTATGATGGTTTAAAGCGTAATTTAGACGAGCAAAAGAACCACACAAATCGACATACATAAGCAAAAAAGACACGGGGTATAGGTTGACTTTCTTGTATTCGGTCGACCTCGTACCGGATTAGGTCGACCTCGACACCAACACTTGATCTTCATTTTATGTCAAATGATTGGATAAATTGATAGAACATTTATCGTCTATCTGGTCGACCTCTTTCTTTATCTGGTCGACCATGTTGTTAATGACTCCCATCAAGTGGTCGACCTATATACCTTTACGGTCGACCATGTTGTTTCTGACGCCAACGAAATGGCCGACCGAGGTTTATTCTGGTCAACCAAAAATAACAACTTAAACTAAGAACGGTCGACAAGGTGGTCTTTGAGGTCGACCGCAATGCTTTCTCGTGCTGCCCAAATTAGTCAATTCGGTCGACCGTCTTCGGGATTAGGTCGACCGAAAAGTCCATGTCACGGTGACATGCATGTCATAATAGGCATACCCTTACAATTATTACTCTTTAAAATATTTATTTTCCTGATACGTGAAGCGATAGCGAGCGGGGATTTGCTAGTTGATATATGAAAGCCAAGGTTTGAGTTACTATTCATTATTGGCTCCCACACTCCTCCATGTGCAAGTGAGGAATTTTCAAGTCATTCTTTTATCCCACTCTCCATTCTACAACTTTTGTGTTTAGCTATTGTTCGCAAAGTTTACATCTATTGTCCATTGTGTTTCCCGTAACAATTATTGTCTACTAGATATATGAAAGCCAAGATTTGAGTTACTATTCATTAGTGGCTCCCACACTCTTCCAAGTGCAAGTGGGAAAGTTTCAAGTTATTCTTTTATCCCACTCTCCATTCTACAACTTTTGTGTTTAGCTATTGTTCGCTAGGTTTACATCTATTGTCCATTGTGTTTCCCATAACAATTATTGTCTACTAGGTTTTCATCTCTCTATTACAGCAACTATCCGCTAGGTTTTCGGCTATGGCTTTTTGCACAAATCATCGCCTTTGCCCACCATTTCGCAACCCATCTCAAGATTAGCTATTTCGAGAGCCAAGGTTTGAGTTACTATATGATATATGAAAGCCAAGGTTTGAGTTACTATTTATTAGTGGCTCCCACACTCATCCAAGTGCATGTGGGAAAGTTTCAAGTCCTTCTTTGATCCCACTCTCCATTCTACAACTTTTGTGTTTAGCTATTGTTGGCTAGGTTTACATCTATTGTCCATTGTGTTTCCCATAACAATTATTGCCTACTAGGTTTTCAACTCCCTATTACAGCAAGTATCCACTAGGTTTTCGGCTATGGCTTTTTGCACAAATCATCGCCTTTGCCCACAATTTTGCAGCCCATCTCGAGATGGGCTATTTCGAAAGCCAAGGTTTGAGTTACTATTCATTAGTGGCTCTCACACTCCTCCAAGTGCAGGTGAGAAAGTTTCAAGTCCTTCTTTTATTGTTGATATATGAAAGCCAAGTTTTGAGTTACTATTTATTAGTGGCTCCCACACTCCTCCATGTGCAAGTGGAAAAGGGTAAATTGCAAGATTGGTCACTGTGATTACTAAAAAGGTTCATGTTTAGTCACTAAAAAATTTAATTTCATTCGTGGTCACTAAAATGAGTTAAACACTTCAAATTTGGTCACTCTTCGTCAAACTCCGTGAACTTGTGTGACGTGGCAGTCAACTCTCATAGTTGACCATTAAATTAGTGACGTGGCAGTTAAAAACAATAAAATAATTGAATTTAATATTTTAAAATTTCCAACTCATTTCAACCATTATTAAATAATAAAAAATAAAACCTCTTACCTTTTAATCCTTAAATCACCCAACCTCACCCCTTCAGTCGCTACAAATACATCTCCAGTGTTCACTCTCCTTCACCGATACAAAGTTGCCCTCACGTGTCTGTGCATGTGTATTAGAAGAAACAACAACCCATGACAGTGCAATTACAAACGTCGGCTGCCTCTGCTTCTCACTACTCCATTTCCTATGCTTTCGGAACCAGCGGAGCGGCCTTTTCATCATCCCTTGTTGTCCTTGACCCAACAAAGAAATACACCGCAAATGCGGCATATTCCTATCCCATATCGACATTTGGTTCTTCAGTTTGAGGAAACTGTCCGGGTCTACTAGGAGGCCCGCAAGAAGCTTCCTGATTCGTTCCATTGCCGCCTCGAATACCTCTGCCGCGATTCACTCTATCGGTCGGCTAATCACCTGTTTGGCTACCTGGATCTACGAATTAGTCGGCGTAGCTGCTCTCCCTCGCCAACGATCAGAGCCCCGACGTTCTCGTTTTAGCACAGGGCGCGATGAGCTTAATCTGAGTCGGGCCAGAGACTCCACCCGTCGTTCCCACTCTCTCTTATTGGCTTACGGCTTCGGGGAGGATGGTGCCGCCGACCCCAGAATCTTTACTTGGAGGGAGATATGAAGAAACCATCTTGGCTTTCCATTGTAGATTAATCCCTTTCACCCTCAATTACCCCCAGAAAGCTCCCTTACTCAAAAACGCCACCTACATCTAATTGATGATTTTCATGTCCGCCGAGAATATCCTCTCCCTGGTAAGGTGGTGTAGAGTGAGAGGGCGATATTGTGATGTGGGAGAGGGAAGGCGAGGTGGGTGGCCGACGGGGAAGCAAATAGGGGTAAGATCCGCCGGAGAAGGTAGCAGCGACTACGACGACCTCGGCTGGGATGGGGATGCTGCCGAAGAAATTAGATTTATTGGGGATGATAAAGAAATTTTATTTTTATTTTATTTGTTAAATGTGATAATGATGTGTAAATTTAAAATTAGTTAAATTTTATTATTATTCAATTGCCACATCACTCATTTAACGGTCAACTATGAGAGCTGACTGCCACATCAGACAAAGTTAACGGAGTTGGACGGAGAGTGACCAAATTTGAAGTGTTTAACACATTTTAGTGACCATGAATAGAATTAAATATTTTTAGTGACTAAACATGAACCTTTTTAGTAATCACAGTGACCAACCTTGCACTTTACCCAAGTGGAAAAGTTTCAAGCATGGTAAAGGAAACCGTACCGGAGGTCATACCGGATCCGTCAACGGTAGGGTATTTTGTGGTACGACTGTGGTTGAACCATTGTGTACCGCCAAAATACCATTTTTGTAATTAAAAAACATTTTTTGGTTAAAAACCGTACCGGCAGATTCAGGATAGAGTTTCGGAGTAATACTGGAATATACCGGATAACAAACTTGAATAAACTAAATAGGCATACTTTATCAACCGATCGGGCTTCTTCTCCACTAGCCATTGCTGCCAAAACAATGAAACATCCAAATTATAATCAGAATACTAGAATAGAGATACCAATTACCAAGTAGACAAGTAGAGTCACCAAACATTATTCATTGCCAAACACTTTCCAAGAGAACCTCCAAGACACACAAGTAACTGAGGAACCAGGAAGGGTTAAAGACTCACATTGAACGTGGGCGACGAAGAGGAGAGGAGAGGAGATTGTAGTTGTAGAGCTCCACCAAAGAGACTTGTCGAGACCCTGTTTGATAGCCGCAAGGGAAGTGGCGGGTGTGATGGTCAAAGATGGGAAAGGCTCTGGGCTCGTCAAAGACTCAAAGCTCTCTGCTCTTTCCTCTAAACTATTGGTGGCATCTATCTCAAACACAGAGCCAGCTTTAGCAAAATGGCGGAGGCATGCATCCTTCAATTTTTGGGAATCTATCAATATTTCACTCTGTTGGGATGAATAACTTTGAAAAGCTATAATGAAATTCCTAATTAATTATCCAGTATTTTCCAATAATACATAAATAAGATGGATAATTAACAAAAGGAATATTATGGAGATAATTAGGAATAATTATCTTAATAGATTATATTTTAATTATGGGAGTAATTATCTCCCTAATTAAAATGTGACTTATTCCCATAAAAAAAGGGAATATTCTGGGTTTTCTGCTCCTATAAATAGGAGACACCCCAGACCCTGTAAACACACCTCAGAGAGCAGAAACACGAGAGAGAGTGAGATTCAAAGAGCTCCGGTTTTCCGCACAAAACCGCTGAGTAAATCAAAAGAGTGGCTGTTTTATCCTGGAGGCGACCGGCTGATAATCTGTTGTGCGAATAACGAGGCAGTGCCGCGAACATCTTAAAGAGAGCGACCTAGTCCGCGACTCAGCCAGATCGGTAACCCTAATTTTTCTGTTCGGTTTTTAACAATTTTAAGACGTTTGGTTGCTGTCGTGTACGAACAGGATCTCGATCTGAGTCAACTTATTTGTATCGTCGCGGGATCATGATTATCGCGGATTCAATGATCGTTGCTGTTAATTGTCATGGAGACCATAGCGGATCCGCACAATTCCACCTCAAGCAGAAAGAAAAGTGTGAGAGGGGATTGGAGGCAGCCAAGTTTCCTTTTGTTCCGCCCTCGGATCTGTTGCGTGGAGGTTTAGAAGCAATTGCTCGAATTGGAATTATTGTTTCCCTCACCAATTCCAATTATCGTTTCCCTCACTAATCTCTTTGTATATGTCCTCACTAATCTTTCTGTATGAGTTCTGGTTATTGTTTTAATTGGTATGGATGGAAAGAGCAGCATCAAGGGCACGATGGCGAGAATTGGAGCGGCGGATTTAATGAGCTGCGGGACGGAAATTAAAGAGCCGCGTCCTAGAGTCTTACTGCAGCTGTCTTCGCGTATCTGCGATCAGATGCCGCCACAATTAACCTGAGCTTCTACCCTTCCCCTGCCGAGCATCATCATCGGCCGCTGTGACAAAAAGTGAGAAAGGGAAACAAGCCCGATCGGCGGCAAGAACAGCCGCTGTGAAAGAGACGAAGTTGGAGTATGGAAAATTGGACCCAATAATCAAATGGGCCAAAGGCAAAAATTATTATCATACGTCCAAAAGGAGAAAGACTTAAAGGCCAACAAATAATGGGTTTCACAAACTTGAGTCTCGCAGTCAGCTGGACCAGGTTTTGAAAAGCCCAGTACGAAGCTAAATGCATGCAAGTGGGCTTGAGCCTCGCTACTGTCAGCAAAGAGAAGCACGACAAAACAAATGAGCTATGCATGGGGCTATCTCGCACAATCAGCTTGCAATGACTTCATGAAAAGAGGTATGAACCGAAATACTCCTCGTGAATCATTAATGAATGATAAATTAGATTCTATTCCATTAAACTCTATGCATAGTATTGAGAACCATATGAATGTGAGAAAGTAAAAATAATTTGATGCATGTATATGTCGACATTGAGATGTATTACCTCTATGATTAGAGTATAAAGAGAATACATGTTGTGGAATAGAATGATTTTGTTTAAATTCATATAATGAAGAATATATGGGAATAGAATGGGTTAATTGCCCATAGTGACAGTATTGTAAGAAGTACTGTTGTCAGTACTAGATGAACCATTGGGGTTGCTCTGAAACATTAATGTTTCAAGAATGAGAGCATCAAGCCGAACCAGATCCACACCAAATAGAATGGTACCCTTAATGGTAACCATAAGATTGTCACCCAATCCTCTAAGAATGACGTTATGTTTCTCTGTTAAATTTGTGAGAAACTAGGTCATAAGACACGAAAGTGTAAGAACAAGTTTAACCTAGTGTTAACTCGACTAAAGAAGAGGATTTGGTAATAATATTCACTGAGGTGATGACAGAGGTTAGCCTTAATGGTAACTCTGAAGAATGGTTGTTGGATAGGACCGCTTCAGGATATGTGTGTGATAAACGAGATAAGCTCAATCATACATTGACGCGTATTGAAGGAGAAAGTGTTGTTGGGCAAGACCCTCACCACTATTATTGATGGTTCTGGAAAAGTGGAAGAGAACCCTGCCTCTAGAAAGTCATTGACTATCCTAGATGTAAGGAATGGTTAAGTAGATAAGATAAATTCTTCCAAGTGTGTCTGTGTGAAGAATTAGAATATCTTATATCGCATTCCCATATTATTATTGGATGCTTGAGAAAAATATGAATTTTATATATCCAAGCTAAATGACCCATAAATATGTGATTAGATAATCAGAATAAATAGATCTGATTTATGTGGGTAAACTTGATAGAAAAGACAATAAACAATTTATTGCTCTTTAGAGTGCTCTGATTGTTTGTCTAGTCATTTGAAATGGTTTGAAATGCCTAATTGCATTACGATTGCACTGATTATTCGATATGTGGCATGCATGTGGTAGCGTTAGAAAATCAGTGTAGCATGATAACTAGAAGAGCATATGAGTGTGTTTTATGTTGTTAACCATAAAAACACATAGTTCCTATGAAACGAAATACTCATGTTGTTGTGAAATCCATTAATGCCAAGAAACTTCCATTTTAAATCAAGAAATAGTGGGGGTAGTGTCCTGCCTACTATTAGAAATAATGGAACTAGTGGGAGTAATAAATCTGAGTTTAAACTCAGAAGAAGCAAATGAACCTGAAATCTCTTAAGGTTTTTGGTTATGAATTTGTTATTTACACCCTAAGAAAGAAAGATCCTACAAGTCTGCTAGAAGTTCGAACTTCCATAAAGATGCAGAATTGTGGGAGAATCCATTATTAACGAAATGGAATTATTAGAGTCTAATAAGACTTATAATCTTGTAGAGTTACCTCTTGGTTGAAAAGCATTGGGTAATATATCGATAGATTAGAACAAGATTTGGCATCTTTGAGAATTACCTCTTGGCAATGAAGTCATGGGTAATAAATGGATTCTTAAAAGAAAAGTAAAACCTATTGGTTTAGTTTATGAGTATAAGGATCGCCTAATAGCTAAGGCTTTAAGAGAAAAGGAAAAATTTTAAATTTTCTTGTTATTAATTCACCATATGTAGAATAACATCCATGTATGTTCTGATTGCTAGTGTTGTGCGTCAGATGGATTGTTAAACATGTTTCTGTGAATGGTGATTTAGATAGGAAAATCTACATGGGACAATTGTTATTCTTGAACATGCTTAGGGAGTCTATAGTTAGACAAATCATTGTAAGATTTGAAATAGACTCTAAGACGATGGCATGCATAAACTGGTTCTCTCTCATGGTTTTAAAAGTGAAAGTGACAAGTGCATTTAGTACAAATTTGACAATGACACTTGCATTATTGATGACACGTCGATCTTTGGTACAAAGACTTGTG